CTCGCGCGAGATGGCAGAAGACGCGGCACGACGATTTCGTTGCGCAGTGGCGCTGCAACTCAAACTCGGCGTGCACAAGAAGAACGAGTGCAGGAGAGGGAGCAGCAGGACGTGGGCATGGCAGAGGCAAGGACGGTGTGCGCTGGCTGAGCAGGGAGTAGGACCACGTGCGGCTTGGCTTTCTCAAAAAAAACAAGGGTAGGAGACAGCAGCAGCAGCTAGGATGGCCGGCCTGCATAACGTGGCCGGAAACGCGCAGACGTGAAGGGACAGGAAAAATTTAGATAATTGCTGAAGCTAGAGGTCTACGCTACCAGGACGTGGTGCATGAATTCAAATGTCTGTACGCACATGGCTACCTCTGCCACGCACATCACGATTTTCTAAAACAATGGAAAGCTGCAAGGATAAAACAAATCTCGCAATTTGTTTGCTCCTCGACCGGCTTCTCAAAGTGCTTGGAGCCAAGGAGGATTAGAAAAATATAATACGTGCTGTTGTGTGAAACGTCTGGCCGCATATGCTTTTGATCCAAGCTCTCCTATACCACTCCAATAGCACGAGCTATATATATATATATATATATATATATCGTTCTATTTGTTAATAGATTTTATTTTATTTATAAAAGTTGTTTTTCATGCTTAAGCTAACAGGACAAACCGTCCGCTAGCATCGTCGTTCGGCATCCTTAAATATTTTTACGCACTGAAATTTAACCTGAACGTTTATTTGAATCCGCGAAACTACGTCACATAGGAATTGCTTATCACCTCAAGTACGTTTTAAATTAAAACCCAAGAAAACTCGATTGGAAAATTTTACTTAGACCTAAATCACGTTGCTAAATAAGCTCGTAACACCAGGGGTGTTACATGACATCAACAGGAGTGGAACTTGTCTTACTGCATGGGAAACAGCCTGTAAACCAAAGAATCAGGGTGGGGTGGGTTAGGTATCATTGACATCAAGAGTCAGAACAATGTTTTACTCATGAAATTTTTAGGACAAATTCTACAATGAGGTAGACATACCCTGGGTATCCATAACATGGTCCAAATTTTACTCTAATTCTCAGACACCACCACATGCTAGAAGTCCAATTGGATCCTTTTGGTGGAAAGACATTATGACTTTTTTTCATAAATTCAGAGATTTTGCCAAGTGTAACCCAAGCAATGGAAGGACTGTTCTTTTCTGGGCTGATAATTGGTCAGATCAAAAGCTCCAAGACATGTTCCCCCAACTATTCTCCTTTACCAGAAAGAAGAAATGTTCCATCCGTTTCTTTCTGGATCAAGATGTAAGCAGAATTTTTAGCTTACCCTTGTCGACACAAGCTGCTAATCAGCTAGAAGAACTGCAAACTCTCATCCAGCAGAGAACTTGGAATGCAGATACAAAGGACATATGGTGCTATTCTTGGGGATCATACAAGTATAGTAGTAAGAAGGCTTACAAAATTATGAATGGCCACACAGAAACTTCTCCTCTCTTCAATTGGATGTGGGCCTCCAGCAACCTTGGTAAACATAAGTTTTTCTTTTGGCTCTTGCTCAGGGATAGAGTCAACACAAGGAACCTATTAAGGAGGAAGAACATGGTTCTTGAAAATTACAATTGTGTTCTATGTAACGCTGACTGTGAGGAAACTAGTATGTATCTTTTTTTTGAATGCCACTTCAGTAGAGCATGTTGGAGCAGCATCCCTATATGTTGGAACCAAAACTTGCCACCGTTAGATATGATTATTGATGCCAGAACATCCTTTGGGACTCCAATTTTCAGAGAAATCTTCATCACGGCATGCTGGATCATTTGGGTAACAAGAAATGCAGTCATCTTTGATAATGTGCATGCCAACCTCAGCAATTGGAAAAGACAGTTCAAGGAGGAGCTTGACCATGTTTGCACAAAGGCCAAGCCAAGTAGACAGGCTGCGCTAATTAACTGGAAGGAGAATTTCACTTAGTTTTTTCGTTTCTTTTCTCCTTTGGGCATTATGGCCTTGTACTTTTTGTTCTTCTGTTGCTCTTCTGTACGGAACATTCTTTCTTTTAATTGAAATCCAAAAAAATATAAGGTAGGGGCTTTCCCTACTGATTTGATAAAAAAATCAGACTACGATTGAAGATACACTAAACAAGAAAAACAAATGTTTTTTTAACAAGGGCGCAAGTATTTCATAACAAATGTTCATCAATTTATACTGAATTCTATAAGTGACTAAGGACCCAAGCAGAAGCGTCAGCAAGCCCGCAAATAGTAGGTGATTCTCGCGTCAGCGGAGCCCCATCAAACCACAGGCCGAAGATGACTGAATGAAACTTAACATATATATAAACACATATGCGTGGATCACGATCTACCATTTTATATCATCAAATAATCTGAGTCGAAGAAACTTTTGCTATCATGCTTTCAGTGTCAACACATCTCAGTCGGTCAAAGTTACTGCTTGCTTTCTTTGAGAAATTTGGGGGTAAGTTACTGCGAGCACCCACTATTTGGTCTAGTGGATACAAATATGGCAGAAGAGCTCCGTTGAGTGAGCAGAATACAGTAACCCCCGACGGCGGCCAAGCTAGGTAAAATACACAACTAGGTCTCGAAGAAACCAGCCCAAAGAGTTGCAAAATGTATTAATTCCAATACAGCTGAAAGATTGACCTCAGTTACAAATATATAAAGCTGAATAATTAGCCTCATTTGTAGACCTGCAAACATTCAAAGAGCTGTTGCCATTGCAAATATATAAAGCTGAATAATTAGCCTCATTTGTAGACCTGCAAACATTCAAAGAGCTGTTGCCGTTTCCAACAGCTGTCAAACATTGAAAATGATAGTGGCCCAACGCCAACCATGGGAACACCAATACAGCTAGCACATACTGTAGATCGGAGTTTGAACTCAACTAGCTAGCCATTGCGTGTCTGTCACTGTCTGTCTGTCGATGTTGCTGATTTAATTTGCTGTTGTTTCTATCTGAATCTGAATTGATGGCCGCATGCACAGCTCATGTTTGCTCTCAGTAGGCCAGTATTGATTCACGTTAAATGCCGGTACCAAGTTGTAATAAGTAAGGTCTTGTTTAAATCTAGGGCTAAAGGTTAGGGGTGTCACATCGGGTATTATATGAGAGTGTTTGATAGTAATAATAAAATAAATTATAGAAGTCATCGGTACTCCGCAAGACGAATTTACTAAGCCTAATTAGCCGTCATTAGCACATGTACTGTAGCACAACATTGTCAAATATGGACTAATTAGGCTTGAAAAATTTGTCTCGCAAATTAGTCATAATTTGTGCAATTAGTTATTTTTAGTCTATATTTAATACTTCGTGCATGTGTCAAACATACGATGAAATAGGGACTAAACTTTAGGGGAGGAACTAAACAAGACCTAAGAGTAGGTGGTTAAACAAGACCTAAGAGTAGGTGGGGGGTCTTTATTTTAAGAAAACACACATCATTTACAAAAATGGATGGTGCCATGTCATAGTTAAAAATTTGAAATGGTTCACTGCAAGTAGCTTAAAATTTCTACTCTCGTCAGCACTGTATGTAAGATTGAAGATAAGCCAAGAAACCAAATGATTTTTTAACGGAGTTGCTAGCGCCCGGACGTCCAATCCGGGTGCTTAGCTTCGGACGGTGCAAATTCCCGCTGAAACGTTAATATGCGAATAAGAAAAATCCTCCACCTCACCATGCTTATCTGTAGGCCCGCCAACACGCCTGACACGCCCGCCCCGACGCCTGACCCGCTGCCATCCACGCACCCCGCCCCCATCCCCATCCGTTCGCCCCACCCCTACAGGCGCACCCCCGCCCCGTCGTGCCCCTGACCGCCGGCCCCCAGCATGTCGCGCGCCACGTCCGCCGGCCACCGGCTCGCTGCGCCCCATTCCCCGGCGCTCCCTGACTCTCCTAACAGCATGAAACACGTGCAACATAAAACACTTGCATGCAACATATGTCTGAAACAGATAAAACATCTGAAACATATACTTGCAACATATGTGCGAAAACATATGCAACATCCAGATAGAAGTTGCAACTTACAACATGAAAACACTTGCTACAACAGAAGACTGAAACAGATGAAACATTTTTGAATATATTGTTGCAACATATGCGTGAAACACATATAAAACATCCAGATCAAAACGCTAGCAACATACGTCTGGAAACAGATGAAACATTTTAAACAAATGTTTGCAACATATGCAACATGTGTAACATCCCCGATCTATTTTTGCAACATCCATATGAAACAATTGCAACATATACCTGAAACACTTGAAACGTACATATGCAACGTAGGGGAGATGGCGGCGAGCGGCTGCGTGTGAGCACCACTATCACTAGCACCACCAGTACTAGGCTTGGCTCGGCGGAGACGGTGGGGGATGGGGGGCGAGGAGTGTGGGGGGAGCTCGGTCGCCGGGGTGAGAGAGGGCGCTGCGCCGGGGCCGGGGAGAGCCGTCCACTCCCCTGCAACACCGTCGCGTCTTGCTCGTGCTCCATGGATCTCGTCGTGGTGGGGGAGAGGGCCACCGGATCTGCGGCGTTGGGGCTCCCGGTGGGTGAGGACGCCGAGGTGGGGGCAGGGGCCCCGCCGGGGTGGAGGAGGGCGCACGCTGGGGTGGCCAAGCGAGAGAGAGAGAGAGAGCAGAGCAACAGGGACCAGGGAAGCACGAGAGAGATGAGCTCGTTGGGCAGGCGGCGCGTGCGGAGCGAAGCGAAGCAAGGCGAGGCGGCTATGAGTTGATTTTGTTTTTTTATTTATTTAGGCGAGCGGCGCGTGCCACAGTGAGGTAAAGTTATGGTGCACGTCACGCCACGCATCCGGAGGAGAGTCGTTGGCGTAGGATGTCCTGTGTATAGCATTACAAATGTTCACCAATTTATACTGAATGATACAAGAACCAAACTATCGGAGACAAACATTATTCGGACAATACTGAAAGATACACTGAAATAACTGAATAAATCTTATTTGTAGCGCCGCAAATAGTCCACAAGCTCATCCACGTACTGCTCATGATTTGCCCTGTCGCCGACTACCTTCTGCATCTCTCTGGCATTGCGCGCGAGCGCCTCGCCCTCTTCCTCCGCCATCACACGCCGCACCGCCGCCGCGACGTCGTCCCTGCGGAACGATCCGTCAGCGTCGTCCCTCGGCACCTCGACGCCGACCCCTCTCGCAGCCATGGCTCGCGCGATGAGGCCCTGGTCCGTTATGAACGGCAGCATCACCAGCGGCAGCCCGAACCGGAAGAGGCTCTCTACGGTGGAGCCCCAGCCGCAGTGCGTCAGGAACGCGCCCACCGCGGTGTGCGCCAGCACGCGCACCTGCGGCACCCACCCGGCGCGCACCACCCCGCGCCCGGCCACGCGGGCCTCGAACCCGTCCGGAAGCAGCTCGCCGGAGTGGCCAACGGGCCGCCGGACCGCCCAGAGGAAGCGCACGCCGGAGAGCTCCAGCCCGAGCGCTAGTTCATGGACCTGGTCCGCCGTCACCGGCGCCTCGCTCCCGAGCGCCACGTAGATGACGGACCTCTTGGGCTGCTCGTCCAGCCACTGCATGGCGTCAGAGAAGGACCCGTCACCACCGCCCCGGGCGTCGTCCTCGTCCTCGGGCAGGAGGAGGCTCGCGGGCACGGCGGGCTTGGCGAAGAGGTCTGTCACGAGCGGGAACAGACGCGGCTCCGCCTCGGGGCAGCTGCGGATGACGATGAGGCGGCAGCTCGGGTGATGCACCTGCCAGAAGCGGTCCAGGTCGGACACGCCGGAGGCGTTGGGCTGGAACGCGGCGGCGATCCACTCCGCCTCATGGCGGCGGAAGGACATGGTGGTGGGGAACGGTATCCACGGCGGCTGGACCATGATGTCCTCCGTCGTCGTGCGTGGTTGCGCCTCGTTCTGCTGCTTCGGACCGACGAAGGCCAAGAAGCCTGCCGTGAAGATGAGGAACATTGCGCACGCGATCTGGCGGCGGGCGGCAGGGAGACAAGAAGGAAATTGAGAAAACTAATACTGTAGCTTTTAATCAGAACAGCACATATCTCTCTCTAATTACTGCTAAAAACAGCATGTTAATATGCTACCGAAAGATATATATCACCTTGTGCTCTTCAACGATTGGCCAAATCCAGTTTTGAGCGAAGTCAAGGATGATCCAGTCGGGCTTCCTCGAGAACGCAGCCGCCTCACCGGCGGCGGCGATGACACAGCCCTTGGTGACAAGGCTCTCGAACGGCACGGCGAGACCGTCGAACGCCTTCTTGAGGAGCTCGACCTTCTCCGGCGGGACGTCGGCGGTCGACTCGGCTCCGTCAGGCAGGCCCTCGACCTCCGGCAGGTCCAGCTTGACGACGCGTAGACGCGCTGCGAGCTCCGGCGGGACTGCGCCTAGCCTGGCAGCATTCCTCGGCGTGGAGACAAAGGTAACGGCGTGGCCGCGCCGCGCCAGCCGCCTGGAGAGATCCAGAAATGGGATCATGTGGCCGAAGGCCAGCCATGGGAACACGACGATGTGGAGAGCTTCTTGGGTGTCCTCCATGGTTAGCCAGTAGATAGCTTGACAGTGCAGATGAAATGGTACGGTAGAACCTTTGTAGAGAATTTAGGAAAACACCCTGTACCCATTGGTCGGGTGACCTTTCATATTTATAGGCTAGAAACGGCTTGTGTTACAGTACAACATAGTTACATCTAATAACCCTAGTATGTAGTATGTACCCATTCGTCGGTGAATGCGGAAGACCGGAATACTTTTATTCTTTACTCTAAAAAGAATGAATACCCATTCTCACGTGTTCGTTTAAACTTATCAGTCGGCTTATCAGCTAAAATCTACAGTATTTTTTTCTCATAATAAATCAGTTTCAGCCGGCTTTAATACCAGCCGAACAGATCCGTATGACACCAAAGGTTTCTTCTACACAGATTATTAGGATCCTCACGCGTATGTATTTTTCAGCCAAGTTTTAAAACAAACCAACCGAACAGTATTTTTCTTTCACAACAAATCAATCGAAACAGTATTTTTCAACCAAGTTTCAGACGAGCTAACGGAGTCGATGTGTATATCTGCTCCCGGAAAAGGGCTCCGATGGCGCGAGAACCACCTAAATCAGAAACCTCACCCTATTTGCAGGCTTGCTGACGAAGACTCCTTTGGCCAGCAATAACGCACGTTGGCTTGAGTCTAAAGTGACCCTACACGTTGGCATGGATGCAGACTACGACTGAGGCTCCGTTTACATGCGAAAATTTTTAGCTTTTGGCTGCTGTAGTATTTTCGTTTGTATTTGGCAAAAAATTATCCAATTATGGATTATTTAGTCTTAAAAGATTCGTCTCGCCAATTACGAGCAAACTGTACAATTAGTTTTTTTTACCCCCATTTAATACTCCATACATGTGCCGTAAGATTTGATGTGACGAAAAATCTTGAAAATTTTTGAATTTTGGGTGGGATCTAAACTGGACCTGAAGATACACCCAACAAGAAAAATAAATGTTTTTTTAACAAGGGCGCAAGTATTTCATAAAAAATGTTCATCAATTTACTAAATTTTTTTGTTTTTTTAGTCGGAACAGTGTTTTTCTCTCATAACAATTCAGCCAGGACGATGTTTTTCAACCAATTTTAGCCAAGATTCAACGAGGCGAACGGAAAAGTGACTAAGGACCCAAGCAGAAGCGTCAGCAAGCCCGCAAATAGTAGGTGATTCTCGCGTCAGCGGAGCCCCATCAAACCACAGGCCGAAGATGACTGAATGAAACTAAACATATATATAAACACATATGCGTGGATCACGATCTACCATTTTATATCATCAAATAATCTGAGTCGAAGAAACTTTTGCTGTCATGCTTTCACATCATATCAGGGTGTTACTGCTGCCGTACCATTATTTCATCTGCACTGTCAAGCTAATAAGCTATCTGGTGGCTGGCCATGGAAAAGGGCTCCGATGGCGCGAGCACTGTCAAGCTAATAAGATATCTGGTGGCTGGCCATGGAAAAGGGCTCCGATGGCGCGAGAACAGCTGGGTCGTTTCGTCGCTGGTTCGTAAACAAATACTGCTGACTGGTTTGTGTGAGAGAAAAATATTATTCCAATAAAAAATTTACGATCGTTTATGATAAACCATAGCCAAATGAACAGGCTGATCAGAAACCTCACCCTATTTGCAGGCTTGCTGACGAAGACTCTTTTGGCCAGCAATAACGCACGTTGGCTTGAGTCTGAAGTGACCCTACACGTTGGCATGGATGCAGACTACCAAGGTCCTACTAGCCCACTCTCACGGTAGCACGTGCATTTATTCCCATTCTCTCTCCCCTACTTGCTGTTGTGGTGTCACACTCACCGCCGCTCCAACCGAAAGGATCCAGATGACTCGAGGAGATTAATAGCCTATAAAAATTTTCTACAAAATCATAACACTAGAGCAAATGAGTACCATATGAAGTTCTAATAGCAACTACTTTGCACTAGCCACTAGCTCTAATATCACCCAAAGCAAGCTCCTACATACTGTAGTAGCTTGGTTTTTAGTCTAGGGCCATGTTTAGTTCCTACCGATTCCAAAATTTGGCACTATGCAAAAAGAAGATTCCCCGTCACATCAAACTTACGGTACATGTATGGAGTACTAAATGTTGATGAAATCAAAAACTAATTGCACAGTTTGGTTGTACTTTACGAGATGAACGTTTTGAGCCTAATTAGTCAATGATTGGACAATTATTAACAAGGGCCTGTTTAGTTCCCCCAATTTCCACAATTTGGCACTATGCAAAAAGAAGATTCTCCGTCACATCAAACTTGTGGTACATGCATGGAGTACTCAATGTTGACGAAATCAAAAACTAATTGCACAGTTTGGTTGTACTTTACGAGACGAACGTTTTGAGCCTAATTAGTCAACGTTTGGACAATTATTACCAAACACAAACGAAACACTACAGTAGCTACTGTGGCTACAGTAACTCTGACGGCGCCGATTCCGCGCCGAACTAAACGAGGGCCAAATAAAAACAAAACGACACTGTAGCTACAGTGTCGCTACGGTGATTCGGCCGACGCCAATTCGGCCGAACTAAACGCGGCCTAGAGCACAACACCACACAAGCTAACTAGCAAGAGCTACACTAGATAGCTACTAAATAATGTCCTGTTCGTCTGACTGATAAGCCATGGCTGAAAGTACTGTTGACTGATTTGCTGTGAAAGAAAAATATTGTTCGTTGACTGAAAAAGTACAGCTTATAAACCAAGCGAACAGGACGTAAAGCAACTACACTACTCTAGCTAGCAAGGCAAACAACTAGCACTCACAAGCAAGAAATGGTTGTAAATAAGTGAGAGTAGAAGGAAAACCAATAAGGGCAAGTGATGACACAAGATATGTCCTCGAGGTTTGGTTGCTTGCCGGCAACCTACGTCCTTGTTATGGCAAGGCCCCACGTGATGATTCGCGTGTTAACTAGCATGTCAAGCTAGACCCACAACTTTGGTGTCGCAAGGATCAATCAAATGGTGCACTGCAACTAGCCACGAATATTCCACTAGAGTATCCCTTTGCACTCCGAGAGGTGGGATCAATATGTGGCAGAACCGCCTAATTTAATGCCTCCCAGGAGTGCTCGTCTTCTATTAGACACTAAGCACTCGAGGGAGAACACTAAATTACTCGGTTCCGTCGGGCATATCCCAGGGGAGAACCCGAAAATCCACATTTTTACATCAGGATAAAAAATGAGAGAATAAAGCTTACATCATTCTTAACCATTTCTTACATCACTTTTAATACACATCAGAGTATAACATTTATTAGTATAACAGCGGAATGTAATCATATTATCAGAGTTATGAACAATTTAATTTAACAGCGGAATATAAACATGAAATCAGAATTACAGCGGCAATAAATAGCTATTTATGGCATGATGAAGCATTGATAAATAAACTAGGACAACATATTATAGAACTTTCATTTATAAAACATTTGATGAGAGTTATAAATAAAAACTATGATCGCAGCGTAAAGAAAATTCTCTCTGAGCCCACCAGGAGGTATCCACACACATGTGTTAGCTCTAGCATCCACCTATCACCAGCAACAGGGGAAATAAAACTCTGAGTACTCAATTATACTCAGCAAGACTTACCTGACAGGAGGAAAGAAAAGACTCCAAGGATATGCAAGGCTATCTGGCTTGTGGGTTTATTGCATTTGCAGGAAGCATTACTAAGCGTGCGTCCTCATATTCAATTTTTATTAATAACCGCATTGGTTTATTAACTAACCATTCTATGTAAGCACCTGTGCTACTTTCAAGCTGGTGGTAAGCAATCATATTTCCTTTTTTCATCTTTCATCTTTCATCTTCAGTTCTTACTACGGTGCTAGGCCGTAGACAAGCCATACTGGATTTCCCAGCGATTCACGAATCAATGCCCCCAGCTGGGTACCCCGAAAACACACGCCCCGCTTGTACCCAAGGCACAAGCAGGACCAACCCATCACCCTCTTGTCCTGAGGTCCTAGGTCTCCATCCAAACTGGGACTCCAAGCCCCCGCCCTTGAGTCCCGGACTCAGTGTGGTGCAAGGACATCCTCCACTAAAAAGAAACCCTGACTGTCGGTCCAGAAAGAGCCGGGACCCACAACAAAAGCGCAACAAGTCTTCCAAGCGCCCATACCCAAGTATGTGCTCGGGATAATAAGTCTATAACTTGCCTAGAGTCTTATGCAACGGCCGGTCCTTAACCGACACAGACAGGGAAAGCAGTGTAACCAAGCCATGCCCCACGTCCACGACGACACAACCTCTTACACCCACCAATACCCAAACCATATCCCTGCCCGGTCACCATTTTTTCTTTCCACCATTTATATTTTCCAAGTGATATAATACAGTAATATATTTTCTATCTCTCGTGAGTGACAGGCAATCACTCGACTTCTACCGGAGTCCTGAAGCATAGCAATCTACACGATCCTGTCATACTAGTAAAACTCATAAGATAAAGATATATATATATATATATATATATATATATATATGCAAGTGGGTTTCATTCAACTCCTTAAAACTTGATGCACAAATATAATTTAAACTGCAGAAAAGTAGGGGTTATGCACCGGGGCTTGCCTGGGTAAGATATATATTAAAAAGTTAGTATCTACATCGTCAGATCATCCACCATCATCTGAATAGAAAACCCATTGCATCATCTCCTGGAGAGAATACCATTACACCATCTTCGGATTCCCAATCATCCTTCAATTGATCCGTTGCTCCATCATCGTACCTATATGATATGTATTGATGTAAATGCATAGATGTAAATAATCAACGACAACCGAAATGCTTAGAAAGCCGATCACGTCTCACAAGCTAACGAGATAGTTCTAACGCGCTAGTCTACGTATCTTTGTTGTCGAATAAGACGTTACTTCCCAACCAAAGTTTTAGTTATACAAACCTAAGTTATTTCTTTATTTCATTCTATCGATTTAATCATTATTCGGAATAGGGCA